ACCCTTCTGTAAGGGGATGTCCAGTTGCCTAAAGATGGGCTTTGGATCTCTACTCCGCATTCCCCCTCATTCACAATGAAAGGATTTTTTGTTCGTTGATGCCTGATACCTGATCCTACCGACACTGCGTGATCACACAGGCTGGTGTGTTTCTTCCATGTGGGCTTTGGTGCTTCTCAGCTCGATGGCTGCTTGTTTATCCTCAAGCCTTTAAGACCCCAGATATCTTTTGATAGCTGGGCACCATCAAGCTTTCTTGACCACATTTGCTTATGCACCCGCTTTGTCTTCAATGATTGTCGGGAGGGTGAGCATCGTAGAATGTGGCCTGTGATTTCTGGGAGTTCCTCCTTAACTGCTCCATGTCCAGGTCATCCTTCCACTAAATGAGCTAAACACTACAGTGCAAAAGGAAACTTTACCAGCCTAGACCCAAGCGCTGAGCAGAGGTATGCTTTCAAATGGACTGCCATTGGGTCCATTCTGATTCTTAGCAATCCTATAAGGCAAGGTAGAACTGCCCAGGGTAGACTTCCAAGACTAACTCTCTACAAGAGTAGAAAGCCTCATCTTTCTTCTGAGGAGTGGCTGGTGGTTTTGAACTGCTGACCGTTCTGTTCACAGCCCAATGAGTAACCCACCAGGCCACCAGGGCTCTGGTCGAAATTCTTAGATTAAAAAGAGCTCAGTGAGCACTGTGTTTTGTGTTTTCTTCCATAAGTCAGCCAGGTTGTTGTTTTTATTATCAGGAGCCATTGAGTCTGTGCAAACTCATACCAACCCTAAATACAGCAGAATGCAACACTTCCTCACCATGTTTCAGATGTTTGAGTGTGCTGGCAGAGCCCCCGTGTCAATTCATCTCCTTGAGGGTCTTCCTCTTTTCCATTGATCCTCTACTCTACCAAATATGATGTCCTTCTCCAGGGACTGGTCTCTCCTCAAAACCCTTTCAAATACAGGAAACAAACTATTGCCACCCTTACTTTGAAGCATTATTCTGGCAGGACTTGCCTTAAGACTGATTTGTTCCTTCTTCCGGCGCTCCATGGTATATTTAATGTCTTTTACCAACAACATAATTCAAGCAAGAACACTCGCTCAATTGATATTAGGTCCAGATATTAGGACCTACTTTTTCAGAAGTATGCTTGATGATTTTTGTCATTGTACCAGTGTTGCTTGCCTGACTAGGCAAGCTGTGCATAACTGTGCATTAAAGGATCCGGTAAAGGTGAAGCACTCGGATCAAGATGGCGGGGCAGGTGGTGCAGGCCGTGCATCTGGAGTCGGACGCTTTCCTCGTCTGCCTCAACCACGCTCTGAGCACAGAGAAGGAGGAGGTGATGGGGCTGTGCATCGGGGAGGTGAGTCTGTCCCTGGGTAGCCGGGCGGCCTGTCCCCGAGCGCTTGGGGGCCCGCACGCCTGGCTCCAGTGGCCTGGGTCCACCGACGCGGGTGGGCTTTCCCACCGCTCTCAGCAACCTCCTGAAGCCCTTAAGGGCTTTTCCCCTGGGGTCGGCCAGCCGCCCGGTGACGCTAGACAGCCACTGGGTCCTCCACGGAGGTGGGTTTCCTCCACCGAGGCCCTCACGGGATTGCTATTAGCATTTTAATAATAGACTGCTGCTTGCTTCCTCAACAGGGAACCAGATGAATCCAAAAGGAGGTTCAGGGTGCACGGAATCTGAGAGGGCAGGGTGTCCGGGCTGAAAAAGTTTCCGCTTCAGAGCGGCAAAGAAGAATACAATAAATACCCTACAGCTGTTCACCATCAAAAGTCAGACCACCCCTTCTGCCCGGAGTGGGATCTCTGAGAGAACTAGATAGAAATCCATCTCTAGTCAGAATCCCCCAGCCTCTAAGGCAAGGGTTCACAACCTTCCTGATGCCGCGACCCTTTCATACAGTTCCTCATGTCGTGGTGACCCCCCAACCATCACATTATTTTCGTCGCCACTTCATCACTGTCATTTTGCTACTGTTATGAATCGTCATGTGCATATCTGATGTGCAGGATGTATTTTCATTGTTACACATTGGATATCATGAAAGCATAGTGATTAATCACAAAATACGTAATTATATATTGTAAAATATTTAGTTCTAATGACAAAGAAATGAAATTTTATCTTGAAGCATGGTGTAGCATGGGTCACAGTCTTAATATAACAACAGTGAACTGGCAACAAATGTACACAATGGATGGATGGATGGATTGTGATAAGAAGTTGGACTAGCCCCCAATAAAATGATTTAAAAAAACAAACAGTAAACTACATGGCTACATTTTGGGACAGTATGCGTAAAAAGCCAAAGTCAGTAAGAAGGTTGTGAGACATGTTTTCTGATGGTCTTAGGCTACCACTGTGAAAGGGTCGTTCCACCTCCAAACCCACAGGCTGAGAACCACTGCTCTAAGGATAGCGCACTTACAGGCATAACCTGATTTTCTTATAGTCTGAATCCTATGGCCAATAATGTTTTCTGCTCTTTCCCACTCTAGTTGAATGATGATATAAGGTAAGACTTTTTTTTTGTTTACTCTTGTTTTATGCTCTTTATTTCATTGCACTCTCAAATTTTAGGGCACATTAGGCAATATTGTCTAGGTATGGGGTTTCTCATAGATTAGCGCTGCAGGTCAGGTATTCCTCAGTGATCAGGCTTTGATCAACCAGGATGGAAACATGTATGACTTGTGAAAAATGCACCAGCCTGTGAAAGCGCTTATAAGTTGGATTTTGTTCTCTTTCCCCCGAAAATTTCTGCAACCTACTGATTATCTTCTTTGTGGCATTTCCCTTTTAAGCTACCCTTCTAGCTAAATGATTTCTGACCCTTCCTTTCCATCGATCTCCCAGAGCTACTGGAACTGGGATGCTTGGAGTAGATAAAGTTCTGGGTAGCCTTTACTTAACACTACAAAGCTCCCCTCTTCAGTACCCACGCTGCCAATGGTTTCGCTTTTTTGCATGGTGACATCGTGAACTCCAATGGGTCCCAGATTGCTTAGATAATATGATGGTCATTCTAGTCCAAGGCCTCAGTTACCCTTTGTCATGCTGCCACTTCAGTGCAAGAACTGCTAATACTGTTATTTTGCTTTACTCCCTTTTTATAATCCAAACTCCAGTTCTTTTTCCTAATTTAGCCCCAATAGGAGTGACTCAAAGTTTGCATCTACTGGACCTGAATTGCGAACAGTTGGTGAAAAGGTATGTGCGCCATACTTTTGCATACTGGAAACACACAGCTGGGGAAGGCATTCTGGACTCTGATGATGGTAGCCAGGGCTCAGTATGGGGTGTGCAGCCCCACATCTATGGCTGAGTAGAGTGTGCTTTCTAATAAAATCAGCTAGGTAAAGAACCTCATTTTCTGTTGTTTATAGCATAGTCTCAGGTCCCATTACCACAGAATCAGCCCTAACTTGTAGCCAGACAACTGCTCTGTAGGGTTCACAAGGCTGTAAATCTTTATGGTGTCTTCTCATTGCCCACAGCCGGAGGGGGAGGTGCTACAAGGAGCCACTCTTCTCTGTGTGTGCTGGGGCGGGGCCAGGCAAGCAGATGTGAGCCAGCTGGACCAAGAAGCCAGGGCAGGTGGCGCAGGCCGCATCTGAAATCGGACGCCTTCCTCGGCAGCCTCCACCACGCATGATGTTCCACAATTTCTGTCTTCTGTTGGTTTTTTTCCTTTGGGATGCACACAAATATGAATTTCTTTCACATAGTTGGCCAACTAGCTGTCTTCTAAAATTCTTGACATAGACAAGTGAGCATCTCTGGCGCTGCAGGCATTTATTGCAACATTTCATCCGTCTTCAGGTGATGACTGGGACCTTGTTTTTGGTCATTGCCTTCAAAGCTTCTTGGATTTCTAATTTAAAGGCCATCAGTTCTAGATCATATGCACCACCAGAAGTGGTTGAACCTTGACCCATTCTTTTATATGTATGATGGGCTAGAATAAAAAGGGCCAAGGGAGGAAGATGGAGGAACTCAAACCAAGACAACAGAATGGTACAAGCGTTGCCCAATGTGGGAACCAGCATCTGAGTGGGAATATATAGCTACAGTCTGGTTGTGCAGCTAATAAGATCTGTGAAAACACACCTTTTGTCAGAGCTGCACTACCTAATTTAGCAGCCATTTGCCAGGTGTGGCTATTGACTTCCTGAAACATCGATTCCTTTGTGCCATCCAATGTCTTATATATAGTTTTAAAACAAGTACCGTATATACTCGAGTATAAGCCGACCCGAATATCAGCAGAGGCACCTATTTTTACCACAAAAACTGCATTAAAAATGTGTTGAAAAACTCACCTTATACATGAGTATATATGGTACTTATTCGTTGATCACATGAACGAATAAGTACCTTCCTTGATCTAAATATTTGCCAATAGATGTTTGTTTTTGAAATGTATGTATGTATATATA